CAATGTAACCAATTACAAAGCAATACAAAATAACAAATATTAATTTGGTTTAATGAATTAAAACATGATTAACAAACATATGAACTGCTTGAGGTTTGAGCCTATAGATGCCTATGATCACAGAAGATCAAACTGGTACACAAATTACACAATAAAGACACACTTGCAAAATTTTACATGATATAGGCCTAACACAGTGTCCAATCTCTTTCATGTAAAGTTTTTGACAGTGTGTTATTAAAGGCAATGAGCCATTTTTATATCAATATCAAATCATTTCTGGGTAACAATTAGCTAAGTAGCTTACTGTAATAGATTTCCATAACAATTGACAAAAATAGCTTTTTAACAAAAAACTATTTCTCAAGCAATAATTTTGCTAGGACTTTCTGGGAGTGGTCTGAGGGGGAGGGGAAAATTGAAAACTAGCTGTTATTGGCAGAGAGGTTTGGAACCATAGAATTAGGAATTAGAATACTAGAATAGACATGAAACTTCTTATGATGGTCTAAAGGTCAGTCAATTTGGTCTGGGAATTGGTCAACCATGGTTTGCCAGTGCTGTGATCAGATATTGTGTAAAATAATTAATTTTAAGAATTTAAAATATAGCACTCACAGCTTTCCAAGAAAACAAAAATTGAGACATTTATGTATTTTTGAGGCTATTTATACAGAAAATGTTTATAAAACCTGAAAAAAACGGTTTTTATAATTATCTGACAATATTTTAGGTTGACAATCATTTTAATACACAATTCTGCATAAGTAAAATCTGGATTATGCCTTGACTGCCATTAATTCCAATTAGACTGGTTTGGATTTCTCCCTGACCAAAGTGGCTGCCATTTTCACCCCATTCTGGAACTTGGAGGGTTTATAACATAGTAATTTAATAGGAACTCTATGTTTGGAATTCCCTTTGTTTTTGGTCTATTAACCAATTTCCTGCCTGGTGACATCACCTGCCAAGCCGAAACTCCCGCCCATGAAAACCTGCTGATTAGAAGGTCCTGTGTAGATTGGATTTTCAAGCAGCAACTATCAGAATTTAAAAAAACACTTTTACAGTGTTAGTTAATCAGCTGTTGTACAATTGATACAAAACACAGGAAACACTTTGACTGCAATGGGCCTTTAAATCATCTGACAAAGTGTGAGTGACTCAACATGACAGTATTGCTTAGGTCATGGCTTTGTCCGGACATGCAGAATTGAGACAGGCAGTTCCTTTGAGATTGATGTTCTCATAAGATTACAAAGTAAAACAGATGCACAAAGAGAGAACAGTGAATAGTATTTATGCCTTGAATTGTGAGGAAATTCAGATTACCATTTGCCTTCATCTGAGATCACCATTCTTTTTTTTTAAGTGATAAAAAATAAAATAAAAAGGACCAAATAATTTCCCCTCATGGCCTGTAATGAATGGTGTGATGTGTAAAGGGAGAATGCTGTTATGCCAGGGTATTACACTACACAGGCCCTGTCCAGGAGGCTTTTGAGGCCTGGGACTCTCTTAGTCACTGGCAGCCATCCAGGTAGCCCTCCTCTGGGGTCGCCCTTTAGTGCCAGCTGGCTGCCTGCTAGCACCAGACAAGTTGGGTCTGGTGGTCGTATTTCTGGAAAGAGGCTATGGATAGGGTTCTCTGTTCAGAGCTCCATTCTCTGAGGCCTATAGAGTAGAGTGGACCCATGCATTGGTGTGGAAAATACATGAATGTAGCCAACCTAAGTTGTTATTTTTTGCCTGATAAGTAGTAGTAGTAGTAGTAGTAGTGAAATTAGTGGTGGACATAGTAGTGGTGGTGAGATTGGTACACCCAATTGGCCATTTAAGCATTACTTTGAAAGGTTGACATTGTCAAGTTTACGCACAGCCTACATTTAGATCCATGACCATTTCCTAACCATATTTTTACATTTTTAAATTTTTACAGACGCTCTTATCCAGAGCATACATTTTTCATATTGGCCCCCGTGGGAATCGAACCCACAACCCTGGCCTATGTTTGAATGCAGGACCACCTGCCCCTTTATAAAGTACAGTACTTAGGCAGTATAGTAGACCTAAGACTTTGACCAAGTATCTATAATTTAATGCCAGCAATATAATACCAAAAAGCAGAACTGAGACGTCTAGTGATTAGTGACGTAACCTGCTAATAAAACAAGCAGAACCGAGACACGAGCTTCTAAAAAGCATACAATGACGCCATCTGTCGGAATATTATTTGAGCACATTAATAACGTTTCATGAACACATTTATTTCACATCAGAAGGCCACTAGAGAGCGCCTTTGTATCTGTATAGGGTCCGTAGCCCATTGAAGTTTACATTTAAAATGGTGAAGGTAAGGGTTTTGGTTAAAGTTCAACACACTGTCACAGTTTATTGCTAAATAGACACAAATTACTTATTCGAAATTCGTGACAGGCACACGAAAAAGTCCAAATTTTCGTGTGTATCACACGATTTTCATCACAACGCATTTCGTGTGTATTACACTATTTTCTTTCTTGTTAACGCATTCCTGTACATTACAAGAATTCCAATTTGTTGTGGCTAACGTTAGCTAGACTAAGGGTTAGGGTTAGGGGTTAAGGTTATGGGAAGCGTTAAATATGCTAGCTAAGTAGTTAAAGGGTTAGGTTTAGGAGTTGGGTTAAATGGTTAAGGTTAGGGGAAGGGTTAGCTAAGTAGTTGTAAAGTAGCTCAAAAGTAGCAAGTAGTTGCAAAGTAGCGAAAATGCTAAAGTTATCCATGATGAGATTGGAACACACAACAGTTGGGATGCTAGCTAGACGTTTGCGTTATACGCCCCTCCTATCGTTTCTGTGTTAAGATTAAGTAACCTACTGTCTTTATCTGTGATTGAAATGCACTGTATACAAAATTGTGTACTGCACACGAAAACATATACCTTTTCGTGTGTCTGTCACAAATTTCCAATAAGCAATTTGTGTCTATTTCGCAATAATCTGTGAGACTGGGTTGTAAGGTTAGGGTAGGGGTTAATTGTGGTTTAGGGTAAGGACGTCCGAAGGATACCGGATAGCACTGACCATCTATAGGGCCGGCCGGACTACCATTCCGTGGGAGTGATCTTTTGTCTTTTTCGAAAAAAAAGATTTTATCTGAAATGCAATTGTCAGTGTAGACAACATTCACGGAATGATGTAGTATGATACATCGGTTTTGTTTCAGTTTTCTTTCTCATGTAGGTGAGTATTTTGGATTGGAAAAACACCAACCAAATAACTATAATACGAATATAGAGAGCACCCAATAATGATGATTAGAAAAGGGGAATACATTTGTATCATCATCCAACTACTGTAGGAAATAAAATACAAGTCCCATGATCATTGGTTTAGTGACGTCAGAGTTTACGTACGCCCCACTACATCAAGTGATCTTCCCCGGGTCGATTATGCGGCTGTCGACGGTTGTTAAAGTGCATTACTGGCGTTAAACTGTAACCAGAGCCTAGATGCGCGGTCTGTTTGTATAATTGAATCAGAGTGTGACATCCTAGGCTGAGGTCGGAAGGTAAGAAATTGTCCTTTATTCGCATCTGTCACGTGCGCTTTGCATTCTGAATTGTAGATAGCCATCACTTTTCTACAACACATTCCTCTGTAACCTGCAATTCAGGTTAAAATATTTAGCTAACGTTAGCTATGTAACAGTACATTTTATGTTGAGGGTGTGGTTGTGTTTTGTCAGTGATGACACAAGTCGCTACTTGTTTGCTAACAAAATAAAGAGTAACAGCCAGTTACAATACACGTGGTGTGATAACTTCACGTCTTGGCTGTCAGGATACCAGAAATTCAGGTTAATATCTTTCATCTCATGTTTAATTCAAAATATTTTTTTCTGTCGGTGACTTGTCTTTCTGCAAGGAAAAGTGTGGATTGTATTGTTCATCATTGATTGAACCCCCCCAATGCCACATCCACTAAATGTAGACTGAGTGTTCAGACTGGCTTTATACTTCTGGGTTTGAATGACAATAAGGGTGTATTGGCTAATTAGATAGCTAATTAGTTCGTTTTCAGATAGACTAACACTTTTTACAGTAAGTAGTCAGCCATAGCCTATACCTTTACGCCAATGCCTATACTGGAGGGTAGCTCTCCATGAACAGGATTGGGGAGTCCTGCTTTAGTCACTGCTCTGATGAAGAGTAATATGATCATGTTTACCTTTGCCGCAGAAGTCTATAAAGTATATGATAAGAATTTGAATATCTATTCTTAGTAAGGCTGCTGGAGACCTTTCCTCTAAGTGGCTTCCAACCTGAAAGGTCAATATCCTCTGGTTTGCCAAGTTGTGTAGGCCAGGCTACCACAGTCAGCCTGAAGTGTAGTTTGGACCGTTCTTTAGCCCAAAGAAGAGGCTCCTATCTCTGCATTGATTGGAGTGTAAACCTTCTCTGTATGTAGAACACACATGGGGTGTATTCATTAGTGCCAACTGTAGTAAAACGATTTGCAACAGGCACGAGTTTCTTGTTGGACAAGTTCAGGTAGGTCACTTCCTGTTTCTAACAATTTGGTTCCTAGTGAATAAACCCCTGTTTTTCTTTCTCCACGTGGAGCAGAAAGCTAATATTTGGTCACAGTTTTGTGACATCAGTTCAAAAATATTTGCATGAAAAGATAGCTTGGATGTCTGAAAACACTACAATAACAAAAAATCTGGGACGCAATGTAATCTCCATAAATAGGGCTACTCTATTAATGAAAACTACCAGCCGCATGGTGCTCAACCCTGCTGGAGTTGGGTCAAAACAACGCTTTGCTTCAAAAACATTTGGTCAACACAGTTACTGACTGTTTTGTCTTCCTCTCTCAGCAGAGCAGCGGGAGGAAGCAGGACCTGTGAAAAAGGGACAGAGAACCAAACAGAGAGTGAGAGAGAAAGCGAGTAAGAACCTACTTAAGCTAGGATCCGCCCCCTTTATCTGACATGCCCAGCTTCTGGTCTGTGTTATGGAACAACATGTAACGCCCTCCGAGGATGCGCCCCCACCGCTGATGTACCGTGTGGAACGGCCTGTGTACGATGAGGCCTACCTCCACACCCAGCTCCTGCACCCGAGAGAGAGGAGCCCCAAGACAATCCGGCAGAGACTGGCACAGCAGCTCCAGTAAGTATCTACATTGAGTTAGTGCCCACAGACCTGGGTCGTGTTCAATAGCACACACTGTAGCAAAACGTTTTGGAAAATGAAGAAGAAATATGTGGTTCTTATTGGACAGGTCCAGGTACTCCCTCCCTGTTTCAATCTGTTTTCTTCCATTTGGTGCCAAATGAACACGACCCTGTTACAGATCTAAACAGACTGTAGAGTAGTGTTCTGTTTTTCAAACCTGGTCATTGGGACCCACAGTGTGTTCAAGTGTTGTTCCAGCCCAGTAGACACACCTATCAAGGTTGTGATGACCGGGATTGAAGAACATTGTGGAATGTGTGACTGGGATGTGGAATTATGCAATACCTTGTTTCAGGAAATGTGTTTACTACTGTAAAAGCTTATGTGAAGTTACATGTTTTTTTTTATCTGACGATGTTTGTCTAAGATTACACTAGTAGAACTACACACCCATTTACACGCTGCTAGGAAGCTTCCCGAATAGATAAGCAGATTAAGCACACACTCATTTACTTACACCTACTCACTCACTCTCTCGCTCTCTCTAGCTGCTCATCAGAGAGGGCCAAAGCCATTGCTCTGAGCTTCCTGCCCATTCTAACATGGCTGCCGTCCTACCCTGTCAAGGAGTACCTGTTTGGGGACCTGGTCTCAGGCCTCAGCACGGGGGTCATGCAGCTACCTCAAGGTCAGTGGGGTATGGAGTCGGGTGTAGTGCTGCACTCCTCAGAATGGGTTTAGAGTCAGGGGTGGCAATTCTCAGATTGGTGTTCGTTTTAATAAAGTTAAATTGAAGCTGAATCATTGTTGATTGTGCTGAATGTTTGCGATTTCTTTTCCCATAAAGCGACAAAAACTCAACAGCACGTGCCAATAAATAGCCTACCGGTTTGTGCTTTGATTGAAATAAAATACAGGTATGGCTTGTTGTTAACATGTGCTCAAAAATTCACTCACAAAACATCCATGGCTGCGCCCTTGCCCAGTCATATGAAATCCATAGATTAGGGCCTAATACATTTATTTCAGTTGACTGATTTCCTTATACAGTGCTATGAAAAAGTATTTGCCCCCTTTCTAATTTTCTCTACTTTTGCATATTTGTGATACTGAATGTTATCAGATCTTCAACCAAAACCTAATATTAGATAAAGGGAACATAAGTGAACAAATAACACAACAATTACATATTTATTTCATTTATTTCATAAACAAAGTTATGCAACACCCAATTCCCCTGTGTGAAAAAGTAATTGCCCCCTTACACTCAATAACTGGTTGTGCCACCTTTAGCTGCAATGACTCCAACCAAATGCTTCCTGTAGTTGTTGATCAGTCTCTCACGTAGCTGTGGAGGAATTATGGCCCACTCTTCCATGCAGAACTGCTTTAACTCAGTGATGTGTGGATTTTCAAGCATGAACTGCTCGTTTCAAGTCCTGCCACAACATCTCAATTGGGATTAGGTCTGGACTTTTGGTTTTCACCAGGCATTACTGGAACCATGTCGTCCAAAAAGTTATACTTTTGAATCATCTGTCCATAGAACGTTCTTCCAAGAGTTTTGATGATCATCCAGGTGCTTTTTGGAAAACTTGTCAACTTTTTGGACGAGATGGGTCCCATTATGCCTGGCGAAAACCAAACACTGCATTCCACAGTAAGAACATCATACCAAAGGTCAAGCGTGGTGGTGTGATGGTTTGGGGATGCTTTGCTGCCTCAGGACCTGGACGACTTGCCTTAATAGAAGGAACCATGAATTCTGCTCTGTATCAGATAATTCTACAGGAGAATGTCAGACCATCCGTCTGTGAGCTGAAGCTGAAGCGCAGCTGGGTCATGCAGCAAGACAATGATCCAAAACACACAATCAAGTCTACATGAAAATTGCTAAAAAGCAACAAATTGGAAGTTTTGGAAAGGGGGCAAATACTTTTTCATAGCACTGTATATGAACTGTAACCCAGCAACATCTTTAAAATTGTTGCATGTTGCGTTTATATTATTGTTCAGTGTGTGTGTATGTGTGTGTATATATATATATATATATATATATATATATATATATATATATATATATATATTATGGATCCCCATTAGTTCCTGCCAAGGCAGCAGCTACTCTTCCTGGGGTCCAGCAAATTTAAGGCAGTTATAGAATTTTTAAAAACAACATTACAATACATTCACAACACATTAAGTGTGTGCCCACAGGCCCCTACTCTACTACCACATATCTACAACACAAAATCCATGTGTGTGTGTGTGTGTGTGTATAGTGCATATGTTATTGTGTGTGTATGCTTGTGTCTGTGCCAGTGTTTGTGTTGCTTTACAGTCCCGCTGTTCCATAAGGTGTATTTTTATCTGTTTTGTAAAACAGTAGTCCAGGTGCGAAAAAACTAGGGCCTGTAGGACCTGCCTTGTTGATAGTGCTGTTAAGAAGGCAGAGCAGCGCTTTATTATGGACAGACTTCTCCCCATCTTAGCTACTGTTGTATCAATATGTAGTAGAACATTTTTCCATCTCTCTGCAGGTCTTGCCTATGCCATGCTGGCTGCCGTACCTCCTGTGTATGGCCTGTACTCCTCCTTCTACCCTGTCCTGCTCTACACCTTCTTTGGGACCTCCAGACACATATCTATAGGTGAGCCATCCCAACGACGGCGCTCCAACTAGTGCACAGGAAGTCACTTTACACTATTGAGATGTATCATGTGGCTAACCAGGAGCGGGGTCGTGTTCAGTGTTATAAACTGGGTGGTTCGAGCCCTGAATGCTGATTGGTTGACAGCCGTGGCATATCAGACCGTTTACCACCGGGTATGACAAAACATTTATTTTTACTGCTCTAATTACGTTGGTAACCAGTTTGTAATCGCAATAAGGCACCTCGGGGGTTTGTGATATATGGCCATTATACCATGGATAAGGGCTGTGTCCAGGCACTGCGTTGCGTTGTGCTTAAGAACGTCCCTTAGCTGTGGTATATTAGCCAATATACCACACCTCCTTGGGCCTTATTGCTTAAGTAAATGTTTTGAAACGTCGAGGTACAGATACTACCCGAATGTCTCTAATAAGAACATTGGTTTTCATTTTCCCTTGCAAGCCGGTTTGTTACTTTGTGCCCTACTTAACACTACCCCTGCAGCCTCCCTGTGGGGATGTTTGTGGTGATTATAGCTGTTACTCCTACTGGGTTTTCCAATGAAGTAGTCCTGGTTGTATTCACATAGTATTCCCGTAGGTCTCTACTCCTGGACAGGTGCCCTTTTCACTTCTTGGCCAGAGAGTTTTGTATTCCAGTGGCTGTGCCAAGTACAGACTGACCATTCCAAACCAGGCCAACAACAGGTGAATTCCAAATAGCACCCTATTCCCTATTTAGTGCACTACTGTTGGCCAGAGCCCTATGGTGCCCGGGTCAAAGGTAGTGCACTATAAAGGTCATATGCTGCGATATGGGACTCAGCCTCAGCCTTCTCATCCACCCAGGGAGCCCAGTCAATCAAGAATCTGGGTGTTACGACTGGGAGATCGATCTGTTCAAAAGTAACAGATCAAGTGACCAGAATAATAGCTAAATTATTGTTTCAGGAAATGAACCAAGTTTTGAAATGGTTTACTTTGGGAATTGATCGGTGTCCTTGTTTAGCTTGGGTGAGGTCACGTCTCCTGGCATTTAATGACCCCAATCTGTTGCGCAGAGACAGGCTAGATTTATGGGCACATTCAAGGCAGACATGGCCTTGTCTCCAATTTCAGCCGTCATGTTTGTCTCCTTTTGACAACTCAGTGAGTCAGTGAATCGCATTCAAACACTTCAACAAGAAAAGAAGAACTAAAACCAGCAGCTGCTGTAGTAACAAAATGGCCACCGCCCAAAACGTCGCCTTAAGGAGGGCAGTTGCTGTAGTAACTTGCGACTGCCTCTCTCACTCTGAGGCAGGGATGAGGGAATATTTGGGCACCCGTTCAAGTCTTGGCCAAAAGCCCGGCCTGCGACACAGACATGCGCTGGACGTGTCAACAGCTCAAGTTGCAAACACAACGAGCTAACACAAGCAAACCTGTCCTGGAAATAATACCTTGTAACAGTAGTTTTTAAAGGGCCTCATACCTCCACAGACAGAGACTAACCCTGCCACAGGCGCCTGGACTGGGTTCACAGCTGTTTGCACTGGTGTGGCACTGATGTCTCCCCTCTTTATTAAACCAATACTGATAAAGAACCTGGCACCTTGGAGACTGATTGAAAACCTTAAGAGGGGAATGGGAAGTGCTATAATAAAGATACAAAGCTGCTAATTCTTTGACCTAGGGGGAGTGCCAAAGCTACCAAGTCAAACGGTTGTATGAATCATTGTCATGAGATAATAACATATGCCATTTAATAGATGCTTTTATCCAAAGCGACTATAGTCATGCGTGGCCCCGGGAATCGAACCCACAACCCTGGCGGTGCATGCTCTACCAATAGAGCCATACAGGATGAGAGGCAATGGTCAGAGTCGGACTCAGCCCACTGAAGAGAAAGTGCCTCATAGTTTATTTCAATTGAATTCATGTATACTTCTATTATTCTGTGGTTTTATTTCAGACTGATGATTTAATCATATTCAGTATCAATAATAAACTGCCAGGTGTTAAGCTCTTTGTCCCTTAACCCTATAGGTCCTAACAATTAGGGTTAAGTGCCTTGCTCAAGGGCACACTGACAGATTTATCACGTAGTCGGCTTTGTGATTCGAACCAGCGACCTTTCGGTTACTGTCATAACACTCTTAACCACTAGGCTACTTGCTACCACAAATTTAAAGGAAATAGCAAAAACCAGCTGACATTCAGCCCTCGAGGAGTTGAGTTTGACACCCCTAATTTTAAGGCTGTGGCTGTGCTCTCTGCAGGCACGTTTGCGGTGATCAGCCTGATGATTGGAGGAGTGGTGGTGAGGGAGGCCCCTGACTCCATGTTCACCATCCAGGCCCTGAACGGCACCACCACCAACGCCACCGCCTTGATCGACACGGGGGCCCGCGATGCCAGGAGGGTCCACATAGCCGCAGTCCTCACCACCCTGGTGGGAATCATACAGGTGAGTTACACTCCCCTCTTCCCCCCCCCCCCCCCCCCTCCCCACCTTCAGAAAAATGTCCCCTCAAATAACCCAGCATCCTCTCTGCTGGACAGTAAGTGCATGAGACCACTGATTATTCCATGTTGCCACAGGCTTTCCCACCACTAGTCAGTCTCTCAATAAGAGGTCAAAGTTTTCATGCCGATGATAAGGATCATCCCATAACCTTGGGGATTGTGGTTTCAACAGGTTGCTCAGAGCTCACTGTTTACTCAATCACAGTGGGATCCACAGCACAGTAACTTAGTTGACCTTATGTCAACTTACTTTACTTACTTTATCTATGTTGACATTATTATGCAAGTAAATCGTCATATCATCTACCCTCCCCTTGTTTGTCTTTCTCTCTCTTCCCCCCCCCCCCCCCCCCCCTCCCAGCTGGTCCTGGGCTTGTTGCGGTTTGGCTTTGTGGCCATCTACCTCACGGAGCCCCTGGTACGCGGATTCACCACGGCCGCGGCCGTTCACGTCTTCATCTCTCAGCTTAAATACCTGCTGGGCATCCAGACCCCGCGCTTCAGTGGGCCCCTGTCCGCTCTTCACGTGAGTCACTAACTGGGCCCCTCAGAGGCCTCTGCCGCTGGAATGGGGTGGTTAACCTTTAAACGGCAGCAGACAGGAAAGTCATCCACATTATAGGAGTCCATGTGGAGGTACTCTGCTGTAATACATGGGTATTAGGCCTAGTTTACAAGCCTGCATGATTTAGTTGTAAATCGACAAAGGATTCATTCCTGATAAAAATAGATTGTGATCCTGCATAGAGTTTTATGCAATGCTCTCGGGCACACACACACACCGCACGCACTCCCAGGTCTCTCATACCCCCTCTCTCCTCCTAGAGTGTTACGGCGGTGTTCAGTAACATCACCAGCACCAACGTGACCACGTTGATTGTGGGCGTGGTCTGCATCGTGGTCCTCTACAGCGTGAAGGTCCTCAACGAGCGCTTCAAGAAGAAGCTGCCTGTGCCCATCCCTGGAGAGATCATCGTGGTCATCGTCTCTACAGGGATCTCCTATGGCCTCAGTCTGTCAGAGAACTACCAAGTGGACGTGGTCAGGACAATTCCAACCGGGTAAGAAAAAGGCTTTTCACATTACTAAGCCGATCCAAACCAAGCTGTACTGAACTGGCCTTCAGCCCAGCCAAACCAAACTGGTTACTGTATGCATCCTACATGGTTACTAGAAGCGTACTGAAAAGTACAATGTAAGAAAAAAAATATCCAAGCCAGCACAGTACGATTCGGGTCAGCTCTATAGTATGAAAAGGTTTCGGTGGCATATTATGGTCCAAAAAGTGTTTAGTGAGTTAAAATGCACGATTTAACGGCATCAGAAGACATTATTGTTACTATTCAGTCAACTTTTCAGACTATTTGTTTCCAGGCTGCTTCCACCTGCAATCCCAGACTTCTCTCTGTTGCCCAACTTGGTAATGGATTCTATCGCCATAGCGGTGGTGGGCTTCTCCATGGGAATCTCTCTGGCCAAGATCTTTGCTCTGAAACACGGCTACAGTGTGGATGGTAACCAGGTCAGTTTCTCCACAGTACTGTAGCCATTATACCCTTGGAAAGTGGAGATGTCAAAGAACGTCATAGCATTTCCCCCACTAATGGTTAAGGTCAGGATTGGGGAGGGAAGCTGATCCTAGATCTGTACCTATGGGATACTTTACCCCAGAGTCTAACCCGTTGGGTCTATGTTGCCCTGTAGGAGCTGATTGCCATGGGCCTGTGTAACTTTGTCAGCTCCTTCTTCCAAACCTTCGCCATCACCTGCTCCATGTCCCGCAGTCTGGTGCAGGAGAGCACTGGGGGCAATACGCAGGTAACACACACACATGCGCAGACTCACAGACACACACACACACACACACATACATACATACATACATACATAGATATGTTCCGGATGACTGTGTGATCACGCTCTCTGTAGCCGATGTGAGCAAGACCTTTAACAGGTCAACATTCACAAGGCCGCGGGCCAGACGTATTACCCGGGCGGGTACTCAGAGCATGCGCGGACCAACTGGCAAGTGTCTTCACTGACATTTTCAACCTCTCCCTGACCGAGTCTGTAATACCTACATGTTTCAAGCAGACCACCATAGTCCCTGTTCCCAAGAACACTAAGATAACCTGCCTAAATGACTACCGACCCATAGCACTCACGTCTGTAGCCATGAAGTGCTTTGAAAGGCTGATCATGGCTCACATCAACACCATCATCCCGGAAACCCTAGACCCACTCCAATTCGCATACCGCCCCAACAGATCCACAGATGAAGCAATCTCAATCACACTCCACATTACCCTTTCCCACCTGGACAAAAGAAACACCTATGTGAGAATGCTATTTATTGACTACTGCTCAGTGTTCAACACCATAGTGCCCACAAAGCTCATCACTAAGCTAAGGACCCTGGGACTAAAAACCTCCCACTGCAACTGGATCCTGGACTTCCTGACGGGCCGCCCCCAGGTGGTAAGGGTAGGCAACAACACATCTGCCACGCTGATCCTCAACACCGGGGCCCCACAGGGGTGCGTGCTTAGTCCCCTTCTGTACTCCCTGTTCACCCACGACTGCGTGGCCAAGCACGACACCAACACCATCAATAAGTTTGCTGATGACACAAGTGGTATGCCTGATCACCAACAACTATGAGACAGCCTATAGGGAGGAGGTCAGAGACCTGGCAGTGTGGTGCCAGGACAACAACCTCTCCCTCAATGTGAGCAAGACAAAGGAGATGATCGTGGACTACAGGAAAGGGAGGGTCGAACAGGCCCCCATTTAACATTGACGGGGCTGTAGTGGAGCGGGTTGAGAGTTTCAAGTTCCTTGGTGTCCACATCACCAACAAACTAACATGGTCCAAACACACCAAGACAGTCATGAAGAGGGCACGACAACACCTTTTCCCCCTCAGAAGACTGAAAAGATTTGGCATGGGTCCCCAGATCCTCAAAGTTCTACAGCTGCTCCATCGAGAGCATCCTGACCAGTTGCATCACCGCCTGGTATGGCAACTGCTCGGCATCCAACCGTAAGGCACTACAGAGGGTAGTGCGTATGGCCCAATACATCACTGGGGCCAAGCTTCCTGCCATCCAGGACCTATATACTAGGTGGTGTCAGAGGAAGGCCCAAAAAATTGTCAAAGACTCCAGCCACCCTAGTCATAGACTGTTCTCTCTGCTACCACACGGCAAGCAGTACTGGAGCGCCAAGTCTAGGTCCAAAAAGCTTCTTAACATTTTTGCAGGCGCTCTTATCCAGAGCGACTTACAGTTAGTGAGTGCATAATTTTTTTTCTCCCATACTGGCCCCCTGTGGGAATCGAACCCACAACCCTGGCGTTGCAAGCGTCATGCTCTACCAACTGAGCTACATGGGGCCGCCTCAAGCTATCCTCAAGCTATAAGACTGCTGAACAATTAATCAAATGGCTACCCGGACTCTTTACATTAACCCCCCCCCACCCACTGTTTATTATCTATGCATAGTCACTTTACCCCTACCTACATATACAAATTACTTCGACTAACCTGTACCCCCGCACATTGACTCAGTACTGGTACCCCCTGTATATAGCCTCGTTATTGTTATGTAATTGTATTGTTATTTAAAAAAAAAAATAAAGTTTACTTTAGTTTATTTAATACATATTTTTAACTCTTTCTTGAACTGCGTTGTTGGTTATGGGCTTGTAAGTAAGCATTTCACAGTAAGGTCTACACCTGTTGTATTCGGCGCATGTGACAAATACAATTTTTATTTGATACAGTGACACACACACACACACCCATCCTGTTTCCTGGGCCCACACTGGGTGTATGGCCATTAACATGACACAGTTGTCCTTTCATTATATGTGTCACCTCATAACGGGAGCTAAATTGGCGCCGTAAAGCCATAAAGATTAGCTCAACCACAGACGCTTCTGTGCAGACTGAAGGAAGGCAAAGTGATAGGTGAGTGTTGACTTACCTTATCTCTCTGTGTGTGTTTGCAGATCGCGGGTCTGTTGGGGTCTATGGTGGTCTTGCTGGTGGTGGTGGCCATTGGTTTTGTGTTCCAGCCTCTGCCACAGGTGGGTGTAACTGTTACCAACCAACTCCACCAACATCTGGTGTTATATGAGACCGCTAAGGAAAAATGAGGAAGGGAAACAGTCCTGTCAGAAGTACTGGCTTTATTTGCTATATTTACAAAATGTCAACCAATTCAAAAGACACATTTAATATTGGAATTTGAATCGCTATTACAGTAGCCTGTATAATAAATAGTTGCAATTAAATGTCCAATCCTATTATTTTGAATGGTAATTCACCCCAACTCAACCCTGACTCCCCTGTCCTTCCAGACCGCGTTGGCTGCCATCATCATGGTTAACCTGCTGGGGATGTTTAAACAATTCAGGGACATCCCTGCCCTGTGGAGGACCAGCAAGATCGAGCTGGTGAGTCTGGACCGCAACACAACTCCTTCTGATTACATCTGACCCAGGGGTCGATTCAGGAAGTACACCAAAATTCCAATTATCTTAAATGCTTTTCAATGAGGACAACTTGGAATTGGGTTTACTTTACTGAATTGACTGGAATTTAAATGGAATTGACCCCAACACTGATCTGACCGCACCATGACTACATCGCACCAGAAAACCCAATCGGACAGAATCCTTTAGTACGTGTCATGCTATGGTAGCCTGGTCTTACCGAATGATCACATGGTCATTGCATGACAACGACTGTAGGAGTTGGCTAAACAGCACAAAGAGATCTGGGACTAGGCCTATACTATGGATCTGTAAACTGTGTTGCGTTGGTCTGTATGTCTTCCAGGCTATCTGGGTGGTAGCCTTTGTGGCCTCTGTGCTGTTGGGCCTTGATCTTGGACTTCTGGTGGCCTTAGGATTTGCCATCCTGAGCGTCATCTATAGAACACAGAGGTACTAAACCGTCCTACTACTTCTGAAATAAATTCAAGTGTAATATTTAATTTCCCCCTTCACGATCACTGGTAACCATTTCATATCACCAGCTTCATTTGAAAAATGATTGATTTTGGGTTGAAGAGTTATTTTGAGGTCATTTCAGTTTTAATCTGTTCAATGGAAATGTATGAAATAACGGTGATAAAACGTTTAAATATCTCTCGCCCCCTTCTTCTCCACAGCCCAGAGAGTATCATCCTGGGACAGGTCCTGGACACAGGTCTGTACTGTGACGTGGATGAATATGAAAAGGTAACATTGTGTCCTTTGTGATGATGAGGAACTCTCTATATGGTCTTACAGTTGCAGGCACTAAAAAGCTAGGTCTCATTACAGTATTGAACAATTGCCTAGCGATAGCTTGTCACTAAAAAATTGCAATGAGGGACAAGGTTTTTATAAATTAACTTTTAAGTGCCCTTAACTGGCCTGTAACTACCCTTGTATAGAATGAGAATCTACATGGTGGTTGGATGAGAAGTGAGACCTGTGATTCTGCCTCTCTGTTCCAGGCAGCTGAATGCACAGGGATTAAGATTTTCCACTCAAACTCTTCAATCTACTTTGCAAACAGTGACCTTTATTTGAACACCCTCAAAGAGAAGGTAATCTCAGCTGCCATGTGTTTCTGTGTGTTGTGTGGAATATGCAGAGTTGCATAAGTTACATTTTTGTTTGACTATGTTACGGGTGAACTAGTCTTTCTCTCCTGTAGACTGTAGCTACACTGCTCTTTTTTGCAAAGCAAATATTTGCAATCACCAAGTCTAGTGAGGGGTCCTTGTATTGCAAAATAACCGCTTGGCCCATCCTGTCTCGTCATATTCAAACATGTGTACAGACAGGAGTGGACCCCGTACATCTCCAGGCTATACGGAAAGCCAGAAGAAGAAAACTGAAGAAGGAGAGCGCAGAGAGGGAAAGCCAAAACCACAAGTCACCACAAAAAAAGAGTGCCGTCGTCAAACTGGTGAGCCCATTCAATATGGAATTTTCTACTTTGTCACTCAAAATATCACTATTTTATTTACTTCCCCGGCTTCTTGTTGAAACACGCCACATATTTACACTGTAACCAGAACACCAGACAGACAGGCAGAATTGAAGGTCTTCACGTAGTCATTTTCTAAGAGGCTTTTGCTGTAAGCCTTGTTGTGGTTGGTTTATAACCAAAAGAGGTGTGATTGCCTGGTACAATATTGGTCTCCTCCATTCTCCTGTGTGATTGGCTGACAATTTTGGTTGTCTTATGATTGGGCCAGGATGTAGAGCTGGGCGTCACTCACGAGGTGGTGGCAGGGGGCGGCTCCCAGAACCACTTGGAGGTGCAGGGGAATGGGCAGGTGGCCGAGACCCACACAGAGTCAGACTCTGAGGAGACCCGGTTCCTAGAGCCCCTCTGTCCTGTCCACACCCTCATTCTGGACTGGACCCCTGTCAACTTCATCGACTCTGTGGGAGCCAAAGCCATCAAATTGGTAAGGGAGCATATCTGGACTCACAGAGCACTGGGGTTTGTTCAGAAGTGTAGCTTTACAGAACAGATATGTTGTAGAAACAGACCTTTCTGTCATGCAGAACTGGGCATAATGTCAGCTTTGTTCATGACATTTCTATCTGAATGTTGGGTGATGTTGGGACCTTCTGAACAGGACTCTGGTGTTACTGCTGATTGCCCCTTTTGAGTTTCCAACTTCCTCATTTCGTGGTGTTCTCATTAGTTTTTCTCTCTGCAGGTGATCAAGGAGTATGCAGCTGTGGATGTGTGTGTTTTCATCGCCGGCTGCAGCAGTGAGTTCTAAGATACTGGTCTAGATTACTACTAAAAACCCTGAGGGTAACTCTGAACTAGAGGTTGTTTAAAACGCATAGGAACGATAACATAAGACTAATCAGTCAGATATAGGCCAACCTACCAGCTGTGTGTTGTCCTAACAGGAACTCTGCTGGCTGAACTCCGCACCCTGCAGTTTTTCACCGGGGTCGTGACCCCAGAAATGGTCTTCCCCACCATCCACGACGCCGTACTGCACTGTCAGCGCCGGACTGCCCCGCCCACCATCCCTGCCATCCAATGACATCGTCCGACAGGGGACATCAAGGGGGAGGGGACATGGGATCACATGCACCTAAGGCTGCTCTAAAGCTGTGTTCACATTGGCAGTTTCAAAAAAATGGTGCATATCCGATTCAAATCTTATTTTTCCTGCAGTCTGAAAAGCCAAAAAGCACATGGAATCTGATATTTCAAGCCACATTTCAAACCACCTTCGTAGGTGGTTTGAAGTCTGATACAAATCTGAATCCTGGCCATGTCTGAATAGTCAAATCTGATTTATTTGCCCTAAAGTGGTTTTTAGACTTATTTGGCATATCTTGTTGCTTGAAAAGCTACTCTGACAAGAACATGTGGTAGCTAACTAGCTTGTTAATTGTTTTACAATTATTTTGATTTTGAACAGTCAAAGCAACTGGGAAACGTCCATGGCAGGAGTTGTCACCTTAGCTTGCTACATAACTTCTGCGTGATAGGAAGCACGAGCACCACCACCAATCAGCCTACACCACTGCACACACCCCCGTCATTACTATGACAACTATCGTAGCCATGTCAGCAAATGACTGCTGTCGGAACACCATACCAATACGATTTGGTAACTTGTAACTTGCTTTTTGGACAGTCAGTATTCCAAAACAGATGAATAAAAACTGATTTGAGCGTTAAGGCCTGCAGTGTGAACAAGGCTTAGGTGAGCCATGGGAGGTAGGGCTGGAGCCAAGCCCAGCACGGTGTGAGGTTTGTGTGGTAGGAGCAGGTATAGAACCACCCAGACTTCCAACCAGCAGCGCACTGGAGACAGTCTGAACGCTCCTCTCCAATTGCAGCTTATTTTTTTTGCAGAGATAAATGTATTTAATAAAGATGGTTTAGTTTGGTTTTATTGCTAACATTCCTATGGGCTTCAGAGTGCAGTACTCTTGGCGCTTCTATGCTAAGAGCAAGCCAAGTCTTTAAAATGGTTTCAAGCACTTGTGTTCTTCACAGCATTGTCTCAAAGAGGAAGAGAAATAGCAACACTCAGGTTTAGGTCACATTGTTAGTGCCGAGGGTCGTTTCAGAGCAACCCCATTAGTGGTTACATTTGAGGCCCAGCAGCGCAAGACTGAATAGGTCTACCACTGGAGCGCTGACATGGGGCAACACAAATGGAATAGATGTTACTTTTACTGTAATGTTTTTCTTCAAGATTGACCTCTTATGTTACCCCTTTCCTGCTGAATATCTAAGAAATGCTTCATCTCAGTTCCTGTCTTTTCCCCTCATTGTACAATCAGTGTGCAAATCTACAACAAACTAATCAGGCAGGCTGTCAGAATGACCACTTCACAGCTGTTACTAATACTATTCTTTCAAATAGTGATGTGCAGTTGTATATATGAATAACCAGTAACTATAGCACTTCAACGCTGCGTTTGGTCCGGTTCAAGTCACTCATCTAGTGTTGTATTATTGGTACAAAGCTTTGAATTTGTACATTTGAAGAAATGTCAATATTTTTGTCATGTCAATATATAATTCAAATGGATGGTTTAAATGTAATGTAGATATCTTACAGCGTACAATACTTTTACATCAATAAACAATGCAGTTTTATAGTACAATTTAATGTGTGATTGAATGAAAACTAAAAATGTCCAAACTGGAATAAACTTTAATGTAATGTTGAATGACAAATGACAGAAAATTATAATCGACTCTCCTCCCCAGCCCCTTGGGAAACAAGCCCAGGTGCAGACAGCATTGCTTAGTTGTAGGTCATGTATCTCGGGGTGGCGCTGAACTTGGCGTAGGACTTGATGACCTTGTTGACCGCCTCCAGGAAGTCCTTCTCTGTGGCAATCTTCCGGCGGGCGCGGATGGCGAACATGCCCGCCTCCGTGCACACGCTGCGAATCTCAGCACCTGATAGGACAAAACGGTGTGCGTGTTTGAGATTTATTACATTGCAGTCGGACTGTGCAGAATCACCTTGCATCCCAAATATGTACTCATTATGTGTGTAAGATGAGCAATTAATCCACGCTGATATGAAGAGGCTTGACAGCGTGTGGGCAACATGGTTGGAGCCCATCATTGGGCTGCAGTGAAGGGTAATTGGAACACAACCTACCTCTTACATGAAGTCAAATACTAAAAACAATGCAGTGGCGCCCCCTTGTGTCGCATCACCGGAAACAACATGGATACTGAACAACATGGTGTCAGGTCATCTTACCTGTGCTGTTGGGACAGAGACGAGCCAGCAGCTCGAAGCGGATGTCTCGCTCTACGCTCATGGAGCGGGCGTGGATCTTGAAGATGTGAGTACGACCCTGAAACACAACACCTCGTCCTTTACCACACTGCCAGCGCAACTCTATATTCATATTGAGGAGTAAATCTCAATCGAATCTCATATCAATCTCGTTTACTATTTATTCAGTAGGAGTTATTGTCGGAAGCTAACTTAATTCGCTACTCATTCATCTTTACATTTATTACCAGCTTTTTGATTTTCTAATCTACTCTGCATATTCAGCAAATCCGAGAAGAGTCAGAGGCTACGTTCCAAGTGGCACACTATTCCCTAATATAGTGCACTACTTTTGACCAAGGTCCAAAGGGAATAGGGTGCCATTAAGGGACTAGAGTCAGAGAGGAGTCAGAGTTCGGCCCGTTCTAATCAGGCATGGTACTCACCTCCAGGTCTGGCAGGCTGAACTCAATCTTCCTGTCCAGTCGCCCGGGCCTCATGAGGGCAGGGTCCAGGGTGTCGGGCCGGTTGGTGGCCATCAGGACCTTTATGTTCCCCCTGGGGTCGAAGCCGTCCAGCTGGTTGATAAGCTCCAGCATGGTTCTCTGGACCTCATTGTCCCCACCGGCTCCGTCGTCAAAACGGGCCCCTACAGGACAAGACGCAACCCACATGTAAGGCGAGGCTCAAAAACAGACAGGGCTACTATTTCTGGTGACAAGACGAGCATCCTGTCCAGGGGTGCACTTGAACATCAAGCTGCTTCCTGCCCTATGGACTGTTCTGGCTCGGACAAGGCTACTTACTACCACTTCTTGTGAAATGCATAGATCTGTGTTATTTTACAGAGTCTTCTTGCATTTAAATCGGTTTAAACAAGTTTTATTGTTTTAGTGCTGACCCCCAATAGCGTCAATTTCATCGAAGAAGATGAGGCACGCCTTCTTGGTCCTGGCCATCTCGAAAAGCTCCCGCACCATTCTGGCACCCTGAGGAATAGAGACAAAGCAGAGAGAGCAAGGTAAGCTCATACAGATTCAGGACCACATTCTTGGGTTTATTCTCCATCATCCTGAGTTCTCAAATCAATTCAATACAACTTGATTGCGACTCGCTCCGGGTTGAAGTTTCGCCTATGTACAGATCTAGGATCAGCTTCCCCTCCTCCAACCCTAACCATTATTGGGGGAAATTCTAAACTGACCCAAGATCAGTGTCTAGGGGCAACTTCACCCTACATCATTGTGACTCACCTCTCCAACGTATTTCTGGACCAGCTCTGAGCCGATGACCCTGATGAAGCAGGCATCGGTCCGGTTGGCCACGGCTCTGGCACACAGGGTTTTACCTGTGCCGGGCGGGCCGAACAGCAGCACCCCCTTGGGGGGTTCAATACCCAGGTTGACAAACCTCTCGGGCTGAAAGCAGAACGGAGAATGAGAGGAGACATCAGCAAAGGTACAAAGTATGCAATATGTTTTACGTGTACAAGATGTCTAATAACCCTGCCACAAATGCAGGAAGTCTGAGGACACTCACCTATGTTTTTATTGCCTTATTTGTTGAAACTTTCTGATTTAAATGTCACGAATGTATAGTTTATACATATTTTGTGATATTGGGTAGAGTGATTCTGAATGACAATTTAATGGAACACTTACGTGGAGCAGTGGGGTCTCCACCACCTCCCTGAGCTTCTCAATCTGCTCTTTACATCCACCCACGTCACTGTAGGTCACATCAGGCTTCTCCTCCACCTGGTGGACAGAGACAGGGAGTTCAGGTAGCTACAATACGTTGACAAGCATCCTTATTTCAGGCCATGGTCATAAACATTAGGCACCAAGCAGAAGAAAACTGACAAACAGGGAGGCACTACTTGAGGTGTCTTCACTAAGAACCAAACTGAGTAACAGTTTCCGTTGCAAAAAAGTTTTGGGCTAATGATTACACCCCAGAACTTGTATAATTAGAAAAAACTTTGTTGCAAAACGTTTTCCTACTGTGTGCCCTAATGAATCAAACCCATTTCTCAAAACAGATGTTGGCTTTCATTGCACTGATCTGAAAGCAGTGACCAGGTGAAAGCCAACCTAAGGATGAGCTTCCACCATATTGTTTTCACCTGTCAAGTACTTTTTCCAATTGGTGCAGATGAAGGGTAGGAAACATTTTAATTTACATTTTAGTCATTTAGCAGACGCTCTTATCCAGAGCGACTTACAGTTAGTGAGTGCATACAGTGAGGGGAAAAAAGTATTTGATCCCCTGCTGATTTTGTACGTTTGCCCACTGACAAAGAAATGATCAGTCTATAATTTTAATGGTAGGTTTATTTGAACAGTGAGACACAGAATAACAACAAAAACATCCAGAAAAACGCATGTCAAAAATGTTATAAATTGATTTGCATTTTAATGAGGGAAATAAGTATGACCCCCTCTCAATCAGAAAGATTTCTGGCTCCCAGGTGTCTTTTATACAGGTAACGAGCTGAGATTAGGAGCACACTCTTAAAGGGAGTGCTCCTAATCGCAGCTTGTTACCTGTATAAAAGACACCTGTCCACAGAAGCAATCAATCAATCAGATTCCAAACTCTCCACCATGGCCAAGACCAAAGAGCTCGCCAAGGATGTCAGGGACAAGATTGTAGACCTACACAAGGCTGGAATGGGCTACAAGACCATCGCCAAGCAGCTTGGTGAGAAGGTGACAACAGTTGGTGCGATTATTCACAAATGGAAGAAACACAAAATAACTGTCAATCTCCCTCGGCCTGGGGCTCCATGCAAGATCTCACCTTGTGGAGTTGCAATGATCATGAGAACGGTGAGGAATCAGCCCAGAACTACACAGGAGGATCTTGTCAATGATCTCAAGGCAGCTGGGACCATAGTCACCAAGAAAACAATTGGTAACACACTACGCCGTGAAGGACTGAAATCCTGCAGCGCCCACAAGGTCCCCCTGCTCAAGAAAGCACATATACAGGCCCGTCTGAAGTTTGCCAATGAACATCTAAATGATTCAGAGGAGAACTGGGTGAAAGTGTTGTGGTCAGATGAGACCAAAATCGAGCTCTTTGGCATCAACTCGCCGTGTTTGGAGGAGGAGGAATGCTGCCTATGACCCCAAGAACACCATCCCCACCGTCAAACATGGAGGTGGAAACATTATGCTTTGGGGGTGTTTTTCTGCTAATGGGACAGGACAACTTCACCGCATCAAAGGGACGATGGACGGGGCAATGTACTGTCACATTTTGGGTGAGAACCTCCTTCCCTCAGCCAGGGCATGGAAAATGGGTCGTGGATGGGTATTCCAGCATGACAATGACCCAAAACACACGGCCAAGGCAACAAAGGAGTGGCTCAAGAAGAAGCACATTAAGGTCCTGGAGTGGCCTAGCCAGTCTCCAGACCTTAATCTCATAGAAAATATGTGGCGGGAGCTGAAGGTTCGAGTTGCCAAACGTCAGCCTCAAAACCTTAATGACTTGGAGAAGATCTGCAAAGAGGAGTGGGAAAAAATCCCTGCAAACCTGGTGGCCAACTACAAGAAACGTCTGACCTCTGATTGCCAACAAGGGTTTTGCCACCAAGTACTAAGTCATGTTTTGCAGAGGGGTCAAATACTTATTTCCCTCATTAAAATGCAAATCAATTTATAACATTTTTGACATGCGTTTTTCTGGATTTTTTTGTTGTTATTCTGTCTCTCACTGTTCAAATAAACCTACCATTAAAATTATAGACTGATCATGTCTTTGTCAGTGGGCAAACGTACAAAATCAGCAGGGGATCAAATACTTTTTTCCCCTCACTGTACATTTTTCATACTGGCCCCCCGTGGGAAACGAACCCACAACCCTGGCGTTGCAAGCGCCATGCTCTACCAACTGAGCTACACGGGGCGGGAGGAGGACAGATCTTGAACTGAAATCAAGCTGTTGTGTTACACTTACCTGCATCATAGTGACAGTGGGGTCAATCTTGGGAGGCAGAGGAATGTGGATCTGGTACTTGTTTCTATCCACACTGAAAGAAACACGGGAGACTTAAGTATCCAACAATATACTGTACCAACGCAATTTTGGACATCAGCACACGTGGTTCTTATTGGAGTAAGAGATATCGCCCTCATCCTTACCCGACTCTCATACCCTCCTCTATGTCAGTGGGGGCCACCTGGTCACTCAGGTCCACCACAAACTTGGCAAACTGCTTCACATTGATTATGTACTTTGGGTCTTCAGAGTCAGCGTTGATGATCTTTGTGCATCTGCCACAACAAAATACAACAAGCATGTGGGTGTTTGCTCAAACTAGAAAACAAAACCTAATTAAAAAGATCCATTGTTTTCAAAGACAGTGAAATCTATTGAAAATGAATCCGGTGAGATAAGTGCGCCATACCTTGCCACCTGCAGAGGCTGCTCGCTCTGCAGAGTCTGTTTGTCTGCAGCCAGATCCCATAGTGCAGGAGGAGCCAGGCCAGTGTCCGATTCCTTAATGCCTGCAATGTTAGATAGCGTATGTGTACTAACCTCAGCTATCTGTCAGACTTGAAAGCAACAAACAACAGATGTGTTCTGATATCACTATGAAAACTGTCACATTCTAAATATTTCAAGCATTATGGGAGGGTAGAATAATCAATGTAATCCCTATTCAATATACAGTAAATGTTTAATGAGCTATAATGCACATGGATGTCACATATAATCACATTTCAACCTACCGGTTAGTTCATTGATCTTCTTGAGCAGGTTTTGGATGTCATCTTCCACTTGCTTAATCTGTCTGGAGTAGGTGCTCTGGCCCTGTACATAACCAGCAATACAAAGATGTCAGTCACAAAGAATTGCATATTTTTCAGTGAATGTAGGCTATGTAGTTGTTATAGCAGATAATGTCATTTCAATCAGTGATAATCAACCTTTAATCAATAGGTAATAACTGGGAATGAATAGGCCTGCCCTACACCATCAGACAACATTTTCTCATCACAGGGGTCATTATGATTACCGCTAGGCCTACACGATTTAAAATAGCAATCAATTCATGTACAGGTATAGCCTAGCTGATACTTACATAAGTTTTCAATAAGGCAATGTCTCCTTCATCCAAAGCTGGAGAGCAAAAACACATTTCAATTTGAATTTACATAACATTCACGAACAACCAATTCATAGCTATTAAATCGGCAAATTTGATTATTATAACAGCTTGTCTTTACTTCCAGGCATAATTGATCACAATTTAAAGAGCCCACTGTGACATGTTTCCAAAACTAAAACAATTGCAAATTGTTCATTAGCCAGGGCTAGCTAACGTTAGCCCTGGCTAGATAACTAGCTATAGAGCTAGCTAACTAATTATATTAAGCTACTCGTAATGATCACGTAACACCTTGGCTTGTTTGATTTTTGTTAAGTACCTATCTAGCTCATATTGTTATTAACTAGCTAGCTTTGTTAAATTATTCACAGTGCATGACTTAAATTAGCCATCCTAGCTGGCTAACTGTCGTACTGACCTAGCTAGCTAACGTTAGCTAATAAACAGTGGTTCTCATCACATACATCTGATAGGTTTATCCTCCTCTTCTTTGACATCTTTGATTTTCCTTTGATCGCCTCCCAAATAATCTGGCATTGCTAATGTTATTCTGTGTATAAAGTTTTACTAGAAAATGTTGTGCTTCAGCACAACAAGGATTACACAGCAGGTTTGATACTTCCGCTGTGCACAATTGACCGGAAATGGGGGTCTGACCTTTATTTGACGAACCCTTGTCATAATGTTCCAAAGTTTTTATATATATTTTTTATACAACCAATATCTGTTCAAATGTATGAATATTCTTACCATGTTCAAGCGACATACTTAATACTAGTATAACAGTCGTTTGTGAGAAGATCGTCTCTGAAATTGCAAATTATTCTTTAGGAACTAAACATAAGGTATCCGATGTGTGATTTCGGAATTATAAGAGTGTAAGGCCAGCTCTACCCAGTAAGGCACCTGTAAAAGCAGGCCCATGTGGTGCACTGAAAAACCGGGCGACATACTAGCACTTTAGAAAACATTTAACTGAATACATTTCACAACTGAATGTTATAGCAGACGTTTCCAAGATGCTAATAGAAGCGTTGGAAGAGGATGTTACAGTCGTCTACTGTAATGCCATTGCTGGTAAGCATTGAATGAGAGTGAAAATACTGCTGATACTGACACAATTCGCTATCATGCAGCTAGCTAGCAACCAACTATGCTAGTTAACTACCGGTATATCAGAGAACAGCTAACGTTAGCTAGCTATCTCATACTAGTCTGAAGTGTTATTTAATTCCTATTGTTAATATAATAATTGTAGCTAGCTAACGTTACTATCTAGGAAAATTGTTACGCTAACTAGCTAAATGACTAAGGAGAGAGACATAATTGATGTTGTGCAATTGTTTGCTGTTGCTGAATCTTAGTTTTGAATAAAGGCACCTGCTGCACAGATTTGTTCATAAAATGTTAGGGCACATTTACTGTAGCCCACATAGCTAGCTATAACACTTACCATGGCAATTATTGGGTTAATTTGTGGAAATGTGTTTGTGTATATATATATATGTATGTACACTGCTCAAAAAAAGAAAGGGAACACTCAAATAACATCCTAGATCTGAATGAATGAAATAATCTTATTAAATACTTTTTTCTTTACATAGTTGAATGGGCTGACAACAAAATCACACAAATTATCAATGGAAATCAAATGTATCAACCCATGGAGGTCTGGATTTGGAGTCACCCTCAAAATTAAAGTGGAAAACCACACTACAGGCTGATCCAACTTTGATGTAATGTCCTTAAAACAAGTCAAAATGTGGCTCAGTAGTGTGTGTGGCCTCCACGTGCCTGTATGACCTCCCTACAATGCCTGGGCATGCTCCTGATGAGGTGTCGGATGGTCTCCTGAGGGATCTCCTCCCAGACCTGGACTAAAGCATCCGCCAACTCCTAGACAGTCTGTGGTGCAACGTGGCGTTGGTGGATGGAGCGAGACATGATGTCCCAGATGTGCTCAATTGGATTCAGGTCTGGGGAACGGGTGGGCCAGTCCATAGCATCAATGCCTTCCTCTTGCAGGAACTGCTGACACACTCCAGTCACATGAGGTCTAGCATTGTCTTGCATTAGGAGGAACCCAGGGCCAACCGCACCAGCATATGGTCTCACAAGGGGTCTGAGGATCTCATCTCGGTACCTAATGGCAGTCAGGCTACCTCTGGCGAGCACATGGAGGGCTGTGCGGCCCCCCAAAGAAATGCCACCCCACACCATGACTGACCCACCGCCAAACCGGTCATGCTGGAAGATGTTGCAGGCAGCAGAACGTTCTCCACGGCGTCTCCAGACTCTGTCACGTCTGTCACGTGCTCAGTGTGAACCTGCTTTCATCTGTGAAGAGCACAGGGCGCCAGTGGCAAATTTGCCAATCTTGGTGTTCTCTGGCAAATGCCAAACGTCCTGCATGGTGTTGGGCTGTAAGCACAACCCCCACCTGTGGACGTCGGGCCCTCATACCACCCTCATACCACCACCCGTTTGAGCAGACACATGCACATTTGTGGCCTGCTGGAGGTCATTTTGCAGGGCTCTGGCAGTGCTCCTCTGGCACAAAGGTGGAGGTAGCAGTCCTGCTGCTGGGTTGTTGCCCTCCTACGGCCTCCTCCACGTCTCCTGATGTACTGGCCTGTCTCCTGGTAGCGCCTCCATGCTCTGGACACTACGCTGACAGACACAGCAAACCTTCTTGCCACAGCTCGCATTGATGTGCCATCCTGGATGAGCTGTACTACCTGAGCCACTTGTGTGGGTTGTAGACTCAGTCTCATGCTACCACTAGAGTGAAAGCACCGCCAGCATTCAAAAGTGACCAAAACATCAGCCAGGAAGCATAGGAACTGAGAAGTGGTCTGTGGTCACCACCTGCAAAACCAGTCCTTTATTGGGGGTGTCTTGCTAATTGCCTATAATTTCCACCTGTTGTCTATTCCATTTGCACAACAGCATGTGAAATTTATTGTCAATCAGTGTTGCTTCCTAAGTGGACAGTTTGATTTCACAGAAGTGTGATTGATTTGGAGTTACATTGTGTTGTTTAAGTGTTCCCTTAATTTTTTTGAGCAGTGTATATACAGTGGGGGGGAAAAGTATTTAGTCAGCCACCAATTGTGCAAGTTCTCCCACTTAAAAAGATGAGGCCTGTAATTTTCATCATAGGTACACGTCAACTATGACAGACAAATTGAGATTTTTTTTCTCCAGAAAATCACATTGTAGGATTTTAAATATATTTATTTGCAAATTATGGTGGAAAATAAGTATTTGGTCACCTACAAACAAGCAAGATTTCTGGCTCTCACAGACCTGTAACTTCTTCTTTAAGAGGCTCCTCTGTCCTCCACTCGTTACCTGTATTAATGGCACCTGTTTGAACTTGTTATCAGTATAAAAGACACCTGTCCACAACCTCAAACAGTCACACTCCAAACTCCACGATGGCCAAGACCAAAGAGCTGTCAAAGGACACCAGAAACAAAATTGTAGACCTGCACCAGGCTGGGAAGACTGAATCTGCAATAGGTAAGCAGCTTGGTTTGAAGAAATCAACTGTGGGAGCAATTATTAGGAAATGGAAGACATACAAGACCACTGATAATCTCCCTCGATCTGGGGCTCCACGCAAGATCTCACCCCGTGGGGTCAAAATGATCACAAGAACGGTGAGCAAAAATCCCAGAACCACACGGGGGGACCTAGTGAATGACCTGCAGAGAGCTGGGACCAAAGTAACAAAGCCTACCATCAGTAACACATTACGCCGCCAGGGACTCAAATCCTGCAGTGCCAGACGTGTCCCCCTGCTTAAGCCAGTACATGTCCAGGCCCGTCTGAAGTTTGCTAGAGTGCATTTGGATGATCTAGAAGAGGATTGGGAGAATGTCATATGGTCAGATGAAACTTTTTGGTAAAAACTCAACTCGTCGTGTTTGGAGGACAAAGAATGCTGAGTTGCATCCAAAGAACACCATACCTACTGTGAAGCATGGGGGTGGAAACATCATGCTTTGGGGCTGTTTTTCTGCAAAGGGACCAGGACGACTGATCCGTGTAAAGGAAAGAATGAATGGGGCCATGTATCGTGAGATTTTTAGTGAAAACCTCCTTCCACCAGCAACAGTGTGTGAAAACCTTGTGAAGACATACAGAAAACGTTTGACCTGTGTCATTGCCAACAAAGGGTATATAACAAAGTATTGAGAAACTTTTGTTATTGACCAAATACTTATTTTCCACCATAATTTGCAAATAAATTCATTAAAAATCCTACAATGTGATTTTCTGGAAAAACAATTCTCATTTTGTCTGTCATAGTTGACGTGTACCTATGATGAAAATTACAGGCCTCTCATCTTTTTAAGTGGGAGAACTTGCACAATTGGTGGCTGACTAAACACTTTTTTACCCCGACTGAATATTTTTGTGACACCTCTCAACTTATTAAAGGATATTTGACAGTCCTAGCCTACACTTACTCATACAAAATGTATGTTTTGTGCACAAGGGAATTGAAGTTGTTAGATTGGTCAATAAATACTGTTGATTTAGAAGGTTCTCTGTATCTTTCAGGGTTTTGGGATAGATATTGAGGTGTTTGGTACTTACCTCTCAACATTGATAGGTTGCAGAATGTTATTCTCAGAGAGAGAGAATGCAGCCAGATGGAGGGGATAATGGTTGCCCTCCTCTCTCTCCCCCTCCCTCAGCCTCAGTGCAGATCGAGGTGGAACCTGTTGGTCGGTGGTTCGAGGCCTTTCTGAAGAGGAGGAACAGGAATGTATCGGCCTCTTTCCAGGAGCTTGAGGAAGAGGAGGAGCTGTCTGAGGAATCCGAGGATGAAGAGCTGCAGCTGGAGGATTTCCCCCTGCTGAGAACACTGGACCCCAAAGACTGGAAGGTAGTCAGGGGTGTATTCATTCCACTGACTGTTGAAAAACATTTCTTAAATGGAAGCAAATGAAACGGGGATAAACATACCTGAGTCTGTCCAATAGAAACTCTTGTTTGCAACTGTTGGACTAATGATTACACCCTAGATTAGCTAAATGCAGGCAATAAATGTGCAAGGCGCTATTGAATGTGTCACGCTGGATTACTCAAATTTTTCTCTCGACCTGTTGTAGCAACCTCATGATGGGTATGGGGAAAATTGTTGTATTTTGCTGGGTGAATGGAATGTGAATGACACTCAAAAAATATGCTGTAATAGAAATAAGGCCATGCTCATAAAAAAATTGAGTTAGATGTTATATCAGTGGGACCTCACTTCAGAATCGTTAGGAACATTGTATTGCATTCTACTTTTGGAGTACGTAGTAAAGGATGTCTTCCCCCTTGGCGTTTCTCTTTTCAGAATCAAGATCACTATGCTGTCCTTGGACTGGCTCATATGAGGTACAAGGCGACACAGAAACAAATCAAAGCTGCCCGTGAGTATTTCCATTTGTGCTGTGGTCGTCTTCTGAACCACATTGTATTGGTTGACCATAAAGTTTCTCTGGCATTACTTCCAGAGTTCATTAGAATAGCAGCTTTTTTACCACAGTATATTAAGTCTAATGATTTTCAACAGACAAGGCTATGGTGTTGAAGCATCACCCTGACAAAAGGAAAGCTGCGGGAGAGCAGATTGTAGAAGGAGACGGTGACTACTTCACCTGTATAACTAAAGGTAAGGACATTGAAAAACGTTGTCTGCCTCAAGTTGGTTCAGTTGATAGGCATGGCGCCAGCAATGCCAAGGTCATAGTGGGTTCAATTCTCACAGGGATCACATGCACATACTAAAAAAATAAGTCCCTATGGATAAATGTCTGTTATATAGGTGTTATACCTCACAATACTCCCTCTATATACAAAAACAATGATATAGTATGAAATATAGTATTGTTTTACCAGAGGGTTGCTGGCATCAATATCGTAGGTGCCACCTACTGCTGATGTTCCCTTGAGCAAGAAACTTAACCCACTAAACAGTTAGTTGGGCACTGCGGCTGCCCTCTGCTCCAGCCTCTCCAACCGAGATCATATGAGGCTAAACGTTCTGTTTCAGCTCCTACTAACAATAATATTTGTGTGTTTTTGTCTCATACCAGCTATAGAAATTCTGTCAGATCCTGTGAAGCGAAGAGCATTTGACAGTGTAGATCCTACCTTTGACAACGCTGTGCCCTCAAAGGGCGAAGGCAAAGATAACTTCTTTGAGGCGTATGCTCCCGTTTTTGAGAGAAATGCCCGGTGGTCTTCCAAAAAACACGTACCCAAACTTGGAACTATGGATTCCTCTTTTGAGGAGGTGGATAATTTTTATTCTGTTTGGTAAGTAAGACCGTCACTGGCCATCATCAGCAGAGATACTTAAAACCCTACCTCTTTAAGGAATACCTGGAATAGTATAAAGTAATCCTTCTTCCCCCACCCCCCATAAAAATAAATAAAAGTGGTTGTCCCACTGGCTATCATAAGTTTAATGCACCAATTTGTAAGTCGCTCTGGATAATGTAATTGTGCGGAAAATCCCTTTAAGTTTAAACTTTTAACTACAAGGGAACTACTGTCCGTATCATCCATCCTTTCAAGCAAAGACTTCTGAATTTGGAACTGATTTTAGACATGCAGTGTATAGCAACTTCTCACAATGATTTGATATTTCTTGTTCATTTGAAATGTGAACTTCTTACGTTTCCCGTTCATAATCTCAATCAAGGTACAACTTTGACTCATGGAGAGAGTTTTCTTATTTGGATGAAGAGGAAAAGGACAAGGCAGAATGGTGAGTGATATCAGAACATGGGAAGGAGCACCGGCAACTCATGTGGAATGCCATTGTCTTACATTTATGTTTTATATACTGTAGCTGTTTTATTGTCACATAGGAGCAGTGAAATGTGTTGTTCTACATGGTCCGACGTAGTAGTACGGTGCCTCCTGGAGCAAATTAGGGTTAAGTGCCTTGCTCAAGTGCACACGGCCAGATTTTTCACCTAGTTGGCTCAGGGATTCGAACCAGGGACCTTTCGGTTACTCGCACAACGCTCTTAACCGCTAGGCTGCCTGTGTCTTCCATTCTCAGTAGTGTTTGATTGGTATGCTTTCATCTGTTGAATTCAGTCGTGATGAGAGGAGATGGATTGAAAAGCAGAATCGTGCAGCCAGAGCCACCAGGAAGAAGGAAGAGATGAATAGACTACGGACACTTGTTGGTAAGGCCCACTAGACATGCATACTGTTCTTACATGAACAATAGAAAATGACTAACCTCAAACTGAAATACCTGGCAGATGGGTTCATGGAATGACACTGTTTGGGTGCGTTTCTGTTGAAAGACACAGCCTACAGCCTTGATCCCAGGATAAAGAGATTCAAAGAGGACGAGAAGGCCAGGAAGGAGAATGAAAAGAAGGCTAAAGTGGACGCCAAGAGGAAAGAGCAGGAGGAGAAGGAGAAGGTCAGTCAGACGCATTACAACGGCCATTTTGTTTTATTCTTGCCTCTGACCTTTGGGTTTTAGTTGCGTCCAGATTGTTTCTGCGTAGACTTCAATGCGTTTCTGACTGTGTTGGTCCAGGCTCGGCAGGCAGAGCTGGAGGCAGCACGGCTGGCCAAAGAGAAGGAGGAAGAGGAGGCCAAACTGGTCGCCCAGCAGGCCAAGAAGGAGAAGGAGATCCAAAAGAAGGCCATCAAGAAAGAGAGGCAGAAACTCCGGACAACTTGCAAGGTGCTGCTTGCATGGGGTGTCCTCTCTTCAGGGAATTCATTAACATTCGCTGATTTGTGGGAAAGATTGTAATGCTGGTTTAAGTTACCCAACTCATCTTAGTATTTTCCTGTCCTCATGTCTGTGTTTTGTTTTCCCCTGAAGAACTGGAATTACTTTGGTGACAATGAATCTGACAGTGTGAAAATGATGGAAGATGTGGAGAAACTTTGTGACCGTTTGGAGCTTGTAAGGTAAAGGATTGAAATTGCCTTAGTGGTAATACTTCATACAAGTCTGGAGTTTGACTCAATACGGCTGAAATCTTCTTTTTTTTTTTGTTCAGTCTGCAATCCCTGAATGAGGCATTGGCATCGGGTTCAAAGGAGGAGGCCAAGGTAGCGGTGGAGAAGCAGGTATAGACAGCACCACTGCACCGCATGATGACTGGGTGTAAATATGGTACATGGCTAACCTCTGTACCACTGACATTGTTTTGTGTGTATGTGTATGCACAGGTGCAGGAGGTGAATGCCCAGCTGCAGAAGGAGAAGGATGCGGAGGTGCAGGCCAGGCAAGCTGTCCGCACTGCTGTACAGGCCAGCGGAGGAGGCGGGGGCGGAGGAAAGGGCTGGAACGAGGAAGAGCTCCCGCTGCTCATCAAAGCAGTCAACCTGTTTCCTGCTGGAACCAACGCCAGGTACCCTCCCAGGGCTGCGTTCAACAGGGCACAACGTTGAAATAGAAATATGTAGAACAAACATGCCAAAAAATGTGTGTATGTAACGAGCATGCCTCTCACATGTAGAATAAGGAATTCGCTCTAGTCATGACATTTTCTGTATTTACATGTTTTATTGATACTGCTCATGAGGAAACGACAGTAGTAGAGACATACATTTAAACAATGGTACAATTTGAGGCTATAAATGGTAAAAGTTCCATTTTCATGAGATTTCTATCTGCAACGTTGGCCTAATGAATTTGGCTGTGTTCTGTTCAGGAAGCGGAAAATTCCACTGCTGGTGTAGAAGGCCTTGCAGCTTTCATGCTTTTACTTTAAGTGATTCATCTTTTGTCTTTCTATCCTGTAGATGGGAAGTCATTGCCAACTACATGAACTTGCACTCTACCAGTGGCATCAAAAGGACAGCCAAAGATGTCATCAACAAAGCCAAGAACTTACAAAAGCTTGGTGAGCAACTGTCATGTCACCAGATGTTGGAGTCATTGTCCGAGTAATTCTCTGCAAAACAATACTTTTGAGACTATTTATTGCCACTTTTTCAGAACCCGGGCAGAAAGATGAGATTAACAAGAAGGCCTTTGAGAAGTTCAACAAAGAGCATGCAGCTGTGCCACAGACAGTGGACAACGCAGTGCCCTCTGAGAGATTTGACGGTGAGTGGTGATCAGTAGTTAATTTTTTCTTGCACAAAAGCCCATTGGATCCCATTGGATTTATACCCATGACTGAAGAGGGGGGGGGGGCACGATAGTGTGACTATGGGTTCTTTCTGGACATGTTTCAGTGTTAGCCACTCACTGTCCTCCTTTTTAAATTCTTGCTGCTTCAGGTGCTGAAGCTAACACTGCATCCTGGACCACTGAGGAGCAGAAGCTGCTTGAGCAGGCCTTGAAGACCTACCCAGTCAGCACCCCAGAGAGGTGGGAGAAGATCGCTGCCGCTGTGCCCGGACGCACCAAGAAGGACTGTATGAAGAGATATAAGGTAAGCTGGGCCTTGTTACGGTTGGTGCTTCTGTGTGGTTTCAATCCCTGTTTGGTAAAATGTAGAGAACAGTGTAAGTGACAAACATGTAGAAGCCGCAGCATACTAAGGCCGGGAGACAGTCTGATGGCGTTTAGTCTGCTATGCACCTTTTAAAGGCAATGTTTCCACGTTTGCGGAGACCGAATTCACGGTAAATGCTGCATAGTGCATATGGTGATTCAATCGGAAATGAACTTTTTAAATGTTGATCGCTCTATAACACAGATCTACCGCTGATCGGATTGAATCCCCACCTAAAGCTAGTTTCTTCTCTTTCCAATACAGGAACTGGTGGAGATGGTCAAAGCCAAGAAGGCCGCCCAGGAACAAGTTGGTGGTAAAAGCAAAAAAATGACGAGTCAAACAAATTGCCCTATGTTCTTCTTTTAACGTTATTGTGTTGGTCTTTATTTTATAATAAAATTAGAAGAAAAACCACAACTTAAACTCTGTTTGTAAAAGTTGATATGTTTATATACTGTACAGTTGGCTGCTTGCTGTTATTACCTTTCCTAAGTCTCTAAAGACAGCGCCAATTCTCAGGTTCTCATCCAGTACATCCCACTGCGAATTCGGTTGTAGTCTGGGAGCTGCTCAATTGGTCCTGAAACAAGAGAGAAATGTACTGAATTGTCTTTATACCACAACAGTTTTGTAAGTAGTCACAACCATGAACAGTTCAATTCCACTGTTCTGACCTAGCAGCACAGCAGACTTGGTATAGTCATGACTGAGTGCAATATTGTATGTATTGTTGCGGCAACTTAAATGAAAAGAATGTGTATATTTATAGCTGAAATTGCATAACTCTTTGTTTGACAGCCCCTAATGGCCTTATGATTTGGAAGGGGGGGGAATGCCAGTAAACAGAATTAATTAGAATCTCGTCTTGATGTCAATAACAATAAAAATCACAACGTACCGACTGCTGCGATGGCAGGCGATTTGTCATAGATGTATTTTGTACACACGTCCTTGATGGTCTTTGCATCTATGGCCTTCGAGGGACATAAAAATAAAACATTTCAAAATAAAGACACTGCAATAATTTCCCAATACAGTCAACAAGTGTCTTTGCTATGTTAATCACAGCTTACATTATTTGGTGTTAAACATTACTTGAATTTACTCACATCAATTCTGGCCTCCAGTTCATGCAGAGGGATCCTACGGCTGTAACAAAGCATCTGTCTGCCGATGTCCTCACAGATGGGGGTGGATCCTAGAAAAAAGGTCAATTTGATTTTACACAAGGGAATTTATTAATATCATCATTGGCAGGGTTTGAATTACAGGGGAGGCTGGTTAAAAACCTCCATAAGAATTGAAATGTCAATGTGCCCGCAGTTAAATGGTGGGTACCCCCAAAAGTCCATTGGTAATTCAAACCCTGATCATTGGTGTATCACGTGGCCTTACCGTCAAGATGCAAAAGCATGTTTGTCTTGAGGAGGTTCTTGGCTCTCGCAACTTCGCTCTCAGTAACGCTAGTGCAGAGTGACATCCTGAGGTAAACAAAAGTAAATGTCAGTGGCAACCCCCTTTTCACACCATCGTGCCGACCCAAATTGTGCTGGGTCAGATTTTTTCACATTGTCCTTTTCAGCTCTGTTCCAGCGACTATGGTGGATGCATAACCAGGCCAGCTTGGTTTGACTGCTTGGTCAGGTGACCGCTGGGCTTAGTCAGTGCTCACCATTCCAGCTGTGTGAAGTGCATCATCTCGTTGATGGTGCCAGGCTCACACACCATGTAGAGTCCCCACAGGCCTGTGTCGGTGTAACAGGTGTTGAAAGACTGGAAGCTGTGGCACAGGTTGCCCTGGCATGCCATCTGCGCCAGCTTGCTGGAGAGATTCTGGCAAAGGTCAATACACATTGTAAGAGGAGGAATCGACCTGGAAGGAGTCCCGATGCCTGGGAACATGAATGGGAACTTAACTTACCACACCTCCACCAAAGGAGCGGTCCCAGTTGCCGATGAGTGTGTTTGCCACCATAAGGGGAATGGTATCGGGGTGCGACCAGCCCACTGCTTCCACAGCAATGACAATGTGTGCCAGGGGCATCTTGTCGTCACGAACCCGGATCTAACCAACAACAATGAAATAAATTGGCCAATATACTAGGGGAAATTCCACAAACAAAAACCAACTATTGCAAAGTTAAACAAAACTTTATGCACAAAGACTACTTTGAACATTTTCCAGAAACACTTGAACAGTTCAAATGCAAAGTTTGGTAAGAGAATGACAGTTTGTGCCATTTGCTGTCATTCTGTTACCAAACTTAGCATCTTCACTGATCAAGTAAATGGAAATAAAGTAGTCCTTGTGCATAGTTGTTTGACATACATTTTAGAGTGAAATCTGGAGTCACTCTTACCATGGCATTGCCCACAGGGAGCAAGTTTGTGCACTTTGCCTCTGTTGAAGATAAACAATAAGGGCCCTTAAATCTCACCTCACTTCCTGTAAAATCACATTGTGGGAAGGTTGGCGCCTCTCCCTTGTATCTTGCAGGAAGATTCCCAAAGTGGTACTTGGCCAAATCTATCAATTCATTGTGTGAAACCCCTGATTGAAAGACAATGTTAGCACAAAATATCTTCCATGGATTCTATTTCTTTATGACATCAGTGTGCATCGTGTGATTTTGACCAATTGTGAGCAGGCATTGCCTACTAATTGTCTAATGGTTTGATGTCATTGGAAACACTTATCTTTATTACTACAAAACATAAACACACCATTTTCACATATGTTGATGTTGGGGTGGTGCTGGAGAGGATATGAAGTAGAATATTTTTTACATTTTCCTTTTAAGACGAGTCGAAGAACCTACCTCCAGCAGCAGCCAACACTATTCTCGGTCCTTTGTAGTGAGTAGTGATGTATTCAACAAGGTCTCCTCTGTTTATTGTTCTATAAACACAGACAGCAGAAATGTCACTGAATATCCCCTGTAGTTTCTATGAAGCAAACTGGTCTGAGATGACAGGAATGACCAAGTCTAGGGGTGTATCATTCAGTAGTGAGCAATTCAGAACATTGCAGATAGAAATAGGATGCCCTGTTCAGTATGACAGACAATCATACCTGTTCTGCACAGTACATTTCTATGTTAACATTCTGTAAAATTGTCATCTAAGCTGGGTTGTGTTCATTAGGCACTAAAAGGAAGAAAACTGACTGAATCCGAGAGGGAATAGGCTTCCTGGCCCAATAAGGAATGCAGATTTTTGTTTTCAGTTGCAAAACATTTCCCATTTTGTGCCGTAATGAACCCAGGCCCAACTGAGGCAGGTGAGATCAAGAGTCCTACTTGATGTTCTCCGTAGGGCCCAGGATGGTTCTGCCCAGCGCTGTGGCTTGATAAGCTGTGGCGTGGAGGTAGTCAAACACAACTTCCTGCAGGTTGGTCTCCACTTCCTGCATCTCTCGGAGGATGACCCCTCGCTCTCGCTCGATCTCCGCTCCCCCCAATGTGCTGTTCTGGATGATGTCAGCCAGGATCTCTACCGCTGGAGGACAAGGGAGGGGGAGCGTTATAAACTGTAACACCACCACACCAAAGATTCTTAATTTCTTAAAGCAGAATGTCCACTATCCATCTGTGGCCACACACAGTTCAGTGACAAGACAGTGGAGCAAATCTCTATACAGTCAGTCGTCATACCTCTGGGAAGGTCCTTTGTGAATGCTTTGGCGTAATACACAGTCTGCTCCCTCGATGTGTAAGCGTTCAGGTGGGCCCCCATATTTTCAATCTCCAGCTCCAGGTCAAGCTGTGAGCGCTTCCTTGTACCCTGCCAGACACACATCACAGATGAACAGACATGTCAAATGGTATCAAAGTTGGTAATGGAACATTGGTTGCAATTTGCAGTGGATATAGCGCTTGTCATCTAACCTTGAAGGCCATGTGTTCCAAGAAATGAGCAGTACCATTGTTCCTCTCATTCTCATAACGACTCCCTGCATCTATCCAGAGACCAACCTGCAAGGCACCAATTCATCACATCGGACTTCAGCACACTACTACATAGTTTGACAGATTGTACTTAATAGTGGGAGGGTCTCTGCTACTCACTGTGCACGTCGAAAGACCGGAATCCTCGGATGCAACACGTAGTCCATTTTCTAAGGTGGTAACCTTGGTTTCAGGGACATTTAACATCACTTGGTTGGCGGCCTGCGTAGCCAATAGTCTGTGTGATCCAACTATGGACTGCAACGAGGGAGGGAGGGAGGGAGGGGAGTGGGGGAGAGAGAAGGTGAATAGTACTAGCTACTAACGTTACTAGCTAGCTACACGAGAACGTTGATAGCATTTGCACGTTTTACTTGTCATTGTCAGCCGGGCTGGGCATTACAGCTTATTCTAGTCTAGACTATGAAAAAAATATGTAGGTAATGCTACTGGTTTGAAGTAAGTTGTATGATCATTTCGCACGCAGTGTCAATTATCACTCAATTATACTACCTTCATCTAACGTTAAGGCTTCAGGACCTGCAGAACACAGGCAATGCTGCCTGGATATCCCTCTTATTTAGCTAGTTAGCTAAGTCTCCGCTTATTGATAACTCTACCAAGGTTTACCTGCTAAAATTGTCACCCTTCTGGATATCGACACTTACCCTGGTTAAGACATTATTCTTCAATACATTTCTTTTTACAAGATATCTGCCAGCGGAGGTAAGGCGCTGTAAGGACGTCGCCATGTTGATTATTTGTGACATGGCTATTGCGCAAGTGCGATTATTTAGTGAGCTGACGTAATGAGCATGTAACACGCCCACCGGCATTTGCCATGTCATTACGATTAGTAAAATGTCATATTCATAAATATACATTTACAAATGTAGCTATAATTGCAAATGTATGAATAGAAAACAATTGTTTACCATCTTTATGAATGAAATTGTACAACACTTGAAAACCATTTCCTCCTCTAGTAATAAAAAAGCTGTGAAGACTGTGAATGACAGTAACTTTTTCAAAGGTTTTTGTTTGAATGTACTTTATTATTATAATGTTTTACCATTCTCTCCCCTGGTGGTTCTGTTTAAAATATATATATACACTAATTGTTTATTTAGTCTGTCTATTTCCTATGTGCTTGAAATGGGTTAATAAAAAAACAAGTTCAAATAATATAGCTGCGAGCAGCAATGAACGGGGTTCACAGGATCAGTTAGTTTCTACATGATAGAGTGCTTGCTTTATTATCTATCTTCCTTTATGTGCAATCAGTGAAAGCATTAACATGTTTATCTCTCAATACCACAAGGATGATGCAAGTGAAGTTTAGTCTCATGCTGTAGGTTGGTTATCTTTGAATGCAGGTAATCATTCTTAAAGTCATTACTTAATGTATTGAGTTTATATATAGTGTACCTATGCTGGGGTGAATTTGACTAATGGTTTATGTTAAGATTTGTAAAATATTTTCAGCGTTAGTGTATTGGTATCTTGTGGTCTTCTTTGAATTCTAGGACTTATTTTGTTAAACTCGTACCAAATATGGTTTGAATATGATTTGTGGTTTTAGAATTGTTTTTTAAAACTGTTTGTTCTCTGACTCCTTATGCATCCCTTTGAGCATGTCCATCGAGTAGTTACTTGTGTTATGGTGTGAATTTGGTAAGGTTTAGGAATTGTATTGATTGTAATGCGCAAACTGGAATACACTACAGGTAAGTGCGTACACCATTAGTTAATGCAATTCATTAGAGTCTATATACCAAATCTGAAGTCAATCTGTTCATGAGAAGATTTTTAAAGTATTTTTAGCATTAGCATATATGGTACTATAGGTTCATCATGTTGATAGGTCATTGTGTAGTGGATTTACAAAGGATTTAAATGGACACATAAAATCTGATTTCTGATTTATCAATTACTCAGCCATCTCTTAACCATCCCTTACCTTAAACTAGGTCAAGAGATGTACCATGGGCCTACATACCAAATGTGGTGTTATTTGTACTAATCTATTCTGATGGACATTATGGGCCCTTGATTTGTTCAGCATGAGGAAAGACACCTACATTCAAAGTTTCAAGTCTCTAAGTCAAACGGGGCGATGGATATGAGGGTTTAAGTGAGACTGTTTATAACAGTGCTACCTATAGGCTAATCGGTGTCATTCTTTTTTTTAACCAAGTTACTCATGGCCTCTAGTTTCTGTGTGCCAAATTAGAAAAAAAGTTACCAGTCTATGCTTGAGTTTTTTGTCAACAACAACAACATTCAGAGAATAACAATAGGCTTCACAGCTTACATTTGAGTAATTTAGCAGACGCTCTTACCCAGACCAACTAGGGTTAAGTGCCTTGCTCAAGGGCACATTGACAGAATTTTCATCTAGTTGCCTCAGGGATTCGAACCAGCAACCTTTCGGTTATTGGCACAACGTTCTTAACCGCTAGGCTACCTGCTGCTGTGAACCCCTACAAAAAACGTGTCTTTGCCCATACTTTGAAGCTAATACAACAGCTGGAAAACCCAAAACCCCACTTAAAAGCGCACATATGGGGGAAAACATCTATGTTTAGAATTTAAAACAGCATGTCGACCGAATTGGCTTGGACTCTAGTAGTGCCTTTCTGTTTATATTATGCCCAGTGCCTTTCTGTGGCGTGTCCTGAACTTACTACTGATGTCCAGTAGATGGCAGCCTGATCAAACCCCAGTACCTTTGCAGATTTGTAATAGCGCTACGGAGTTTTTTGTGCATAAAATTATTAGATGTCATGTCTGAAATATTGCTTCATGAGGTCGTGTTGGGCGTGTTTCTCAATGCCTTGCATCTCCTGACTCTGCCATTATAGTTAATACATTTTTTGGGGGGTATTTTCATCAACTGATGTCCCTGTTTTTAAATGTAGCCTATTATTGTTGGAGAAAAAGTAGGCTGATGCTGGTTACTGCGGATCTGGTTGAATCCTAGCCTTATGTCCCCCTTGTAGTTCAAGGTAGGCTAAAGTGTGACCCGCTTTTTCTTGGGTAGACCTAGTTTAATGGAATATATCAGAAAATGGGACACATTTGACACTTTATGTCTATAGTATTACAATTGTGGCGGCATTATTCAACATAGTATCTCCTGTTGGTCAGAAGGGGTTAAATTCAGGACAACAGATCCTTGTTACAGTTTTGAGAATGTATTCCCTACATACAGAGAAATCAAACAGTGAAACCACCATTTCATGTAGCATTTGCCTCTCAAATGAGGGTCTTACTAAAGCAAAACTGAAGGGACGATTCTTTGTAAAGTAATATTCCCCTGCTAAAAGATGGTATTTTAAGTCTTCTATTGCATTCGGCTGCTTCGGGCTAGAATAAAAGGCATTTGTCTACACTGTATCGCCTTGGAAATAATCATTATCTCGGTACATGGCTCCCACATGAAAGTGCCTGCTTTCAGTCAGACGGCAACTTTGATATTCCCACCAGTAATGGCTGTGCAATATTTGCTGTGGGATGTTTCTCTTATAATGAGCCGCCTCTGCTTCCATAACTGTAGCAATTAGACAAATGTAGGTAAAATACATTTGATCTGTTTTTCTGCACCTAAGTACACATCCATACTTTTGCTGTAATGATACTGTATCTTTGTCACGTTCGTTGTATAAAGGATCGGACCAAGGTGCAGCGTGGTATGCGTACATGTTTAATTTATTAAATAAACGCTTGACAAAATAACAAAAGCAACTGAACGTGAAGTTCTAAAGGCTAACAGCACAAGCCGAAACAGAATCCCACAACAACATAGGTAGGCAAAATGGCTGCCTAAGTATGATCCCCAATCAGAGACAATGATCGACAGTTGCCTCTGATTGGGAACCACACCCATCCAACATAGAAATAGATAATCTAGTTTATCTAGCATTCACACCCTGACCAAACTAACTAGAGAAATAACAGGGCTCCCTGGAGAGGGGTTGACGTCTGTGGCTCTGGCTCGGACCCCAGTGGAGCGGATGGCTCCGGCATGGGGTAGAGTAGACGACTGGACCCGGACTGGGCACCGGTGAAGTGGACTGCCCCGGCTCTGGTAGGGAGCAGATAACCGGAGCTGGACTAGGCACCGGTGGAGCGGACTGCTCTGGCACTGGAGTGGAGCCGCTGACCGGATCTGAACCCCGGTGAAGCGGACTGCTCTGGCACTGGAGTGGAGCAGATAACCGGAGCTGGACTAGGCACCGGTGGAGCGGACTGCTCTGGCACTGGAGTGAAGCAGCTGACCGGAGCTGGACTAGGCACCGGTACGGGGCGTACCGGGCTGGCGACACGCACCACTAGTTTAGTGCGAGGAGCAGGCACGGGCCGTACAGGACTGGAGACACGCACCACTGGTTTGGTGCGAGGAGCAGGCACGGGCCGTACCGGTCTGTGAAGGCGCACTGGCGGCACAGTGCATAAAGCCAGCGCAAAGCCTGGTGCCTGCACGGTCACATGCTCCTCAAAGCGAGTGCGGGGAGTTGGCTTTATTGGGGCTGCCTCTTGTGCTTCCTTCGCGGTCGGCACCGTCGGCGTCGCCATTGTTTAATTTATTAAATAAACACTTGACAAAATAACAAAAGCAACTGAACGTGAAGTTCTAAAGGCTAACAGCAACAAGCCGAAACTGAAACAGAAACAAGATCCCTCCACATAGGTAGGCAAAATGGCTGCCTAAGTATGATCCCCAATCAGAGACAACGATCGACAGCTGCCTCTGATTGAGAACCACACCCGGCCAACAAAGAAATACATAAACTAGATTATCTAGCATTCACACACTGACCAAACTAACTAGAGAAATAATAGGGCTCTCAAGGTCAGGGCGTGACAATCTTAATATAATTACTTGAATATTTACTTTTGAATTCATATGTGACTGTAGTAGAATAGCAATCCTGAGTTATGTATATAGGCTATTTCAAATCAACATTGGTATATGGACGATACTGAGGAAGTTTGAGGTATATGGAGTTGAGAGAAATTCTGTCTTCTCGGTCTCAGGATGACTCTGGTCTCAGGACCTCTTTGTCTGTCACTTGGCAACAATCTTGTTGCTTGGATACAACATGCTGTGCCTTATTTTCATGAGATCAAATAGGCTGGAGTTGAAAGACTTCTAGGCTAGAACAGGAGGCGGTGTTGTGTTGCATATGATGTGAATGTTTTTGAGGTTATCATGCAGTCCTTTGTCCTTTGTGATGCATGGTCCATCCTGTGGCTAGAACCTCCCGTGGCCATGACAGAGGTCAATCTGTAATACGGCGAATTGAGCAAATAAGGCATTTGTGGTGAGTGCATAGATGCCGGCATTTTTATAAAATTTTTAATTTTACCCCTTTTTTCTCCCCAATTTTTGTGATATCCAATTGGTAGTTACAGTCTTGTCCCATCGCTGCAACTCCCGTACGGACTCGGGAGAGGAAAAGGTCGAAAGCCATGCGTCCTCTGAAACACGACCCTGCCAAGCTGCACTGCTTCTT